GATCCCTGCTGAATTCTTAAAGCCCTCACTGTTTGCATCACTCACCATGATATATCATCAGATCCTGCTAGTGCACGAGGCACAGTAGACTCAGCTCTCTGTCAGTAAGTTGTGTGAAATTGACCCCCTGCCTGCACTTTGTAAAAGGAAGGGGCTGGGCCAATACTTCTGGGCCTTTTGGTTACAATGATTTACGTACAGTAGCCACCTCTTATTCGCAGTTCACTTTCTGCAGTTTTTTATTCTGTTTTGTTTGAAACAGAGCCTTGCTCTTGTGGCCCAGACTGGAGTGCAGTGGCACAATCTTGGCTCACTGCAACCTCTGCCTCCCGGGTTCAAGTGATTCTCCTGCCTCAGCCTCCCAAGTAGCTGAGACTACAGGTGCCCACCACCACGCCCGGATAATTTTTGTATTTTTAGCAGAGATGGGGTTTCACCATGTTGGCCAGGCTGGTATTGAACTCCTGACCTCCAGTGATCCACCCACCTCAGCCTCCCAAAGTGCTGAGACCACAGGTGTGAGCCACCCATGTGTTGAGACCATGAGGTCTCTGTCCTCCTGAATGGAGTAATGCTGTAATAAAATGGGCTTTGGGGAGTGGTTTTGCTCTTGCACACTTGCCCTTCCACCTTCCATCATGTGACGCCTCAGCAAGAAGGCTCTTGAAAGATGCTGCTGCCTTGAACTTTCCAGCCTCCAGAACTGTGAACCAATACATTTACATTCATTATAAATTACCTAGTCTCAAGTATTCTCTTACAGCAGCACAAAATGGACTAAGACGTGGTCTTTCACAACACTATTTAATTTTCTAACTAAATTTCTTTCAGAAAAGAATTCAGTTGTTATGAGATGAAAAAATAAAAACATAAATTAGGTACATGCAAATGGAAAAAAATACCTTACCATATCAACAGGATGGTTCTTGCATTGCTATAAAGAAACAGCTGAGACGGAGTAATTTATAAAGAAAAGAGGTTGAATTGCTCATAGTTCTGCAGGCTGTACAGGAAGCCTGGCACTATGGTTTGTTTCGCTTCTAGGGAAGCCTCAGGGAGCTTTTACTCATGGCAGAAGGCAAAGGGAGAGCTGGCATCTCATTCGGTGAGAGCAGCAGCAAGCGGGTTGGGGTGGGGGGAAGTGCCACACAACTAGATTTTGTGAGAACTCACTATTGTGAGGACAGCACCAAGCCATGAGAATCCACCCCCATCACCCAGATACTTCCCACCAGACCCCGCCTCCAACACTGGGGATTACATTTCAATATAAGATTTGGACAAGGGGCCAGGCGCGGTGGCTCACGCCTGTAATCCCAGCACTTTGGGAGGCTGAGGCAGGTGGATCATGAGGTCAAGAGATCGAGAGCATCCTGGTCAACAAGGTGAAACCCCGTCTCTACTAAAAATACAAAAATTAGCTGGGCATGGTGGTGCGCGCCTGTAGTCCCAGCTACTCGGGAGGCTGAGGCAGAATTGCTTGAACCCAGAAGGCGGAGGTTGCAGTGAGCTGAGCCTCAGCCTCCTGAGTAGCTGGGACTACTCAGGAGGAGTACTCATCAGGAGATGAGTGCCACCACACCCGGCTAATTTTTTGTATTTTAGTACATATGGGGTTTCACCATGTAAGCTAGGATGGTCTCAATCTCTGGACCTCATGATCCGTCTGCCTCCCGCCTCCCAGAGTGCTGGGATTGCAGGCGTGAGCCACCGAGCCTGGTTGTAACTTATGTTAATACCCAACGGACAGCATTTCCTATGGGGGAGGCACTCATCAACCAATGAAACAGAATGGCTTTTCCGGTTATTCTCAGCCGCCTTCTTCCCTCAGCTGCCTTAGGGTTGGCATAATAAGTTCATGAACACAGTAGCCATGGTGGCAAAGAAGGAGGCTATACATGGATCCAACAGCATGAACTGTTATAGTTGCTGCGCTACTGAAAGTCTAACGTGACAGCAGGTTAGACTGTGTATGTTAGAACTTTCACTGCTAGCCAGGCATGGTGGCTCACACCTGGAATCCCAGCACTTTGGGAGGCTGAGCGGGGAGGAATCACCTGAGGTCAGGAGTTTGAGACCAGCTTGGCTAACATGGTGAAACCCTGTCTCTACTAAAAATCTAAAAATTTGCTGGCACCTGTAATCCCAGCTACTCAGCAGTCTGAGTCAGGAGAATCGCTTGAAACTGGGAGGTAGAGGTTGCGGTGAGCTGCGATCGTGCCATTGAACTCCAGCTGGAGTGACAAGAGCAAAACTCCATCTCAAAAAAAGAAAAAAATTAAATGTACAGTACAGTACAATAAGGTATTTTGAGAGAGAGGCCACATTCACACAACTTATTACAGAATGTTTTTATAATTGTTCTGCTTTGTTATTATTGTTGTTAATCTGTTACTGTGCCTAATTAATAAACTTTATCAGAGGTATGTTTGTATAGGAAAAAACATAGTCTACGAGGTGTTCGGTACTCTCCATGGTTTCAGTCATCCACTGTGGGTCTTGGAACCCATCGCCCACAGGTAAGAGGGAACTGTCATATATCATTTTTTTTTCTTCTTCATCTAAACTTCATGCTTTTGATTTCTGCCCACAACCTGGAGACAATGCCAGGCTCACATGGGATCCTGAAAATGAGGTTCTATATTTATTGATAAGTTAATTGTGGATTTGTCCAACTGATATAGTTTGGATATTTGTCCCTACCCAAATCTTTTTTTTTTTTTTTTTTTTTTTTGAGACGGAGTTTCGCTGTCGTTTCCCAGACTGGAGTGCAATGGGGTGAGGAGTGCAGATGGAGAATTGGGGTGAGGCGGAGGTTGCAGTGAGCCAAGATCACGCCATTGCACTCCAGCCTGGATGACAGAGCAAGACTCCATCTCAAAAAAAAAAAAAAAAATGACATGTTACAAAGATGTTCACATTTCATTCCCACTGCCTTAGTACACATGCTACACATCTCCTCTCCAGACACCTTCATCCCTGATCTTCCAATCTTCCTCCTTTCAAGTAGTCCCTGACCAATTGGCCAAGTTACCCTGCCCATGAGTCTTCTGTATGTCCTTGCCTCAGGCCCTTCTCTCCCTTCACAAAGTGGATAAACAGATGCACTATCCGATGCTCTGTCATTAGGAGGACATTCCTTCACTGCCATCCCTGAGGTCTACCCTTAAGGGAAGCTGTAGTGCAGCAGTTGCCCATCTTTGTCTTATACCTACATACCAACTGACCCATCCACGAACCAGGGTTAGCTTTTTTCCCTCTGTCAGCTGGTAATAAGGAATGCCATGCATTCTGTGACAGGCAGACTCTAGAGTGGCTCCCATCGTCCCTACCTCCAGGGATTCACACTTGTGGGTAATCACCTCCCTTTCAGTGGTGGTGGAGTGGAGAAGAGGGCAAAATGATGGGGGGTGAGGGAAGATATGTGTTCTTTTAAGGCAGGAGCATGTACATATACCCTTAAGAGAGGAGCATCTGGCCGGGTGTGGTGGTTCATGCCTGTAATCCCAGCACTTTGGAGGCTGAGGCAGTAGGATCACCTGAGGTCAGGAGTTCAAGACCAGCCTGGCCAACATAGTGAAATATGTCTCTACTAAAAATACAAAAAATTAGCCGGGCATGGTGGCGGGCACCTGTAGTCCCAGCTACTCAGGAGGCTGAGGTAGGAGAAACACTTGAAACCAGGAGGTGGAGGTTGCAGCGAGCTGAGATTATGCCATTGCACTCCAGCCCAGGCAACAGTGCAAGACTCTGAAAAACATAAATAAAAAATAAGGAGCAGCAGCACTTAACAGAGAGGAATAGGCTACTTCTGCAGATCAATAGCATTCAGAGGAATCTGAAAATTTAAGATTTTCAAATGCATTGACCCAGATGGTCTCATTACAAGTCTCAGCATCTCAGCTTTTTTTTCCACAATCAGGGTCTTGAACTTGGTGTAGATTTACAGGAGTTGAGAAGTTAACATCTCAAACCCTGCCACTAATATAATTGATATTTGGAGTCCAGCTCACAGATTGTTTTCCCCTCTAGTTGCAAAATATGTGAGTAATTTTATATGCTGCAAAATAGACAAACAGACCCTCTAGCTCTTTTCTTTTTTCTTTTCTCTTTTTATTTTGGAGACGGAGTTTCGCTCTTGTCATCCAGGGTAGAGTGCAATGGTGCCATCTCATCTCACTGTATCCTCCACCTCCCAGGTTCTAGTGATTCTTGTGCTTCAGCCTCCTGAGTAGCTGGGACTACCGGCACATGCCACCATGCCCAGCTAGTCTTTGTATTTTTAGTAGAGATGGGGTTTCACCATGTTGGCCAGGCTGGTTTTGCACTCCTGACCTCAGATGATCTGCCTGCCTTGGCCTCCCAAAGTGCCAGGATTACAGCTGTGAGCCCCAGAGCCCAGCCAGACCCTCTGGCTTTCATCCTTGGTCTCATATTGGCAACTGGTGACACTCGACCCTTCACTGCCTTTAAAAAATGAATAACAGCCCCCCAGCCATGTCCACCCAATTCCAAAGTTCTTATAATTACTCTGTCTTAAAACCCCTGGGATATTACATCTGTTGCGCACTTCCTCCCACTGGCGCCCCTTTCCAGTTTGCCACTGATGAACATTTTAACAATTGCCATAGGATGCCAGGGGCCATGAGAGCTCCACTACCACCAGTGATGGGGTTTCCATCACTAACAGATTGGGAGGGTAAACAGCTTCAAAATTTCATCTTAGAGCCTTTTTCAAGGACCACTTCTGGGTTGCATTCCTTAGGAAACAGATTTTGCAATTTGCATGCATGCTTTTAATGGTGTGGTATTCTAAGAAACAACACACGAGAAAGAGGAGGGAGGCAGGACTGAGCAGAAGTTGTATTGTGATGCAGGTGCAACGAAGATCTGGAGTTGAATAACGCATAAAAATTGTGCCACCTTAAGACTAAAGGACTAAAGCTTTATACCCCTCCGTCTTTGGCCATTTTGTTGCTAAAACAGACAGTCAGGCTGGGTAATTTACTAAGAAAAGAGATTTATTTAGTTCACAATTCTGATAGCTGGAAAGTCTAAGAACATGACGCCAGCATCTATTCAGCTGCTAGTGAGGGTTTCATGCTGTCTCATAACATGGAGGAAAAGCAGAAAGGTGAGCAGGTGTGTGCTGAGTGAGGGGATCAAAGAGGCTGACCCACTTTATAACAACTTGCTCTCGGCTGGGCGCAGTGGCTCATACTTGTAATCCCAGTACTGTGGGAGGCCGAGGCGGGTGGATCACAAGATCAGGAGTTTGAGACCAGCCTGGCCAACACGGTGAAACCCTGTCTCTAATAAAAATACCAAAATTAGTTGGGCCTGGCAGGAGGCACCTGTAATCCCAGCTACTTGGAAGACTGAGACAGGAGAATCGCTTGAACCCAGGAGGCAGAGGTTGCAGTAAGCCAAAATCGTGCTACTGCACTGCAGACTGGGCAACAGAGACTCCATCTCAAAAAAATAAATAAATAAATAAAAGAAACTTGCTCTCTCAGGAGCTAATCCATTCCCATAAGAATAAATCCAGTTTCCTAGGAACAAGAGTTTGTTCCAATCTATTCACTATGAGTCCACCACCATGAGCCAACACCTCACACTAGGCCCCAGCTCCAACACTGCCACACTGGCAATTAAACTTCAACATGAGTTTGCGTGGGAACAAACCACATCCAAACTATAGCATCCTCCTAGACTAGCCCTTGGAGATGGGCTGCCCCAACGAAAGGAATGCAATTTTTTGTAAAGTGGTTTTGTTGGCTGAAGACAGTTGCTGGACAGGGACTCATTCAAGAGTTGTTAGCTGGCAACCCTCCTGGCAGCTGAGGAAGTAAGTATCTCAGGCCTGAAACGTAGCACACCAGCGTATCCACTACACCTGCATTTTCAGATTTTTTCTTCTACTTTATTTATTTGTTATTTTTGTAGAGATGGGGGTTTCAGCTGTGTTGCCCAGACTGGTCTTGAACTCCTGGGCTCAAGTAATCCTCCCACTCTGGCCTATCAAAGTGCTAGGATTATAGGCATGAGCTACTACACTCAGCCTGCACTTTCGGATTTCAAAATGACACTATCATCCACTCTCTGATCCTTTCCACTCCTGATAGCTCTCTTTTTTCATTCGCTACCCAAGTCTTCTCCTTTCCTCATGGCCTTATAAAACATCATCCAGGCTGGACACAGTGGCTCACACCTGTAATCCCACCACTTTAGGAAGCTGAGGTAGGAGAATCACTTGAGGTCAGGAGTTTGAGACCAGCCTGAACAATGTGGTAAAACACTGTCTCTACTAAAAATACAAAAGTTAGCCAAGTATGGTGGCATGTGCCTGTAATCCCAGCTTTTCGAGTGGCTGAGGCACAAGAATCATTTGAACCCAAAAGGTGGAGGTTGCAATGAGCTGAGATCGTGCCACTGCACTTCAGCGTGGGCAACAGAGTGAGACTCTCTCTCAAAAAAAAAAAAAACCAATATGGGTCAGGCGCGGTGGCTCATGCCTATAATCCCAGCACTTTGGGAGGCCGAGGTGGGTGGATCACAAGGTCAAGAGATCGAGACCATCCGGGTCAACAAGGTGAAACACCATCTCTACTAAAAATACAAAAATTAGCTGGGCATGGTGGCACACGCCTGTAGTCCCAGCTACTTGGGAGGCTGAGGCAGGAGAATTGCTTGAACCCAGGAGGTGGAGGTTGCGGTGACCCGGGATCGCGCCATTGCACTCCAGCCTGGGTAACAAGAGCGAAACTCTGTCTCAAAAAAAAAAAAAAATTGTCAATATGTGTATATATAATCCAGGGCCAGAGGCAGTGGCTCACACCTGTAATGCCAGCCCTTTGGGAGGCTGCAGTGGGAGGGTCCCGTGAGCCAAGGAGTTCAAGACCAGCCTAGGAAACAAACATAGGGAGATCTCCTGTCTCTCTATTTTTATTTTATATTTTACTTATTTATTTATTTGAGAATGAGGCTCACTCTGTCACCCAGGTGGGATTACGGTGGTGTGCTCCTGGCTCACCGCAGCCTCCACCTCCCGGGATCAAGTGATTATCCTGCCTCAGCCTCCTGAGTAGCTGGGATTACAGGCACACACCACCATGCATGGCTAATTTTTGTATTTTCTTAGTAGAGATGGGGGTTTCACCATGTTGGTCAGGCTGGTCTTGAACTCCAACCTCGTGATCTGCCCGCCTCAGCCCCCCAAAGTGCTGGGTTTACAGGCGTTGAGCCACCGCGCCCAGCCAGGTCTCTCTTTTCTATTTAACCTTAAGTCACCTTGATGCCAGCCCTGGACCTGCCCAGTGACCGATCACAAGCTTTGAGTCTGGAGTCAGTCCAAGACACAGATTCTGGCTTTGCCACTTATTTGTTATTAACCTTTGTTGTAGTCTGTTTGTCCCAACCCCCCAAATTAACATATTGAAATTATAATTCCCAAGGTGATGATATCAGGAGGTGGGGCCTTTGGGAGGTGATTGGGTCATGAGAGTGGAACCCTCATGAATAGGAGAAATGCCTTTATGAAGGAGACGGGTGGAAAAAACTAGTTAGCCCTTCCACCAAGTGAGATTACAGTAGCGAGACAGCTGTCAATGAGGAAGTGAACCCTCACCAATGAATCTTACAGTGCCTTGAACTTCCCAGCCACTAAAACTGTGAGAAAAAAATTTATGATGTTTATAAGTCACTCAGTCTATGGTTGTCTAGCAGCCCAAATGGACAAAGACCACCTTATCCACCAGATTGTCTGTTTTGGTTTGTTTGTTTTTAAGACAGAGTCTCACTCTGTCACCCAGGCTGGAATGCAATGGCACAATCTTGGCTCATTGCAGCCTCTGCCTCCTGCGTTCAAGTGATTCTCTTGCCTCAGCCTCCCAAGTAGCTGGGATTATAGGGACCTGCCATCATGCCCAGCTAATTTTTATATTTTTGTAGAGACCTTGTTTAGCCATGTTGGCCAGACTGGTCTTGAACTCCTGATCTCAGGTGATCTGCCCTCCTCAGCCTCCCAAAATGCTGGGATTACAGGTATGAGCCACCGCGCCTGGACCAGCTTATCTGTTAAATGGGATCATAACATCTCCCTCTGTGTGGTTGTGGTGTTTGTTCAGGTAGCAAATGGGTACCATCTATTTTCAAAGATCTCTGTTTTATCAACTTTACTGCAGTATAATTTACATACAATAAAATGTACAAGCATTAAGTATACAGTTTGATGAGTTTTGGTAATGTTAAGCCAGTGACCATATAGGTAACCTGTGTGCTTTTTTTCTTTTTTTTTTTTTTTGAGACGGAGTTTCGCTCGTTACCCAGGCTGGAGTGCAATGGCGGGATCTCGGCTCACCGCAACCTCCACCTCCTGGATTCAAGCAATTCTCCTGCCTCAGCCTCCTGAGTAGCTGCCCAGCTAATTTTTTGTATTTTTAGTAGAGATGGGGTTTTACCACGTTGACCAGGATGGTCTCGATCTCTTGACCTCGTGATCCACCCACCTCAGCCTCCCAAAGTGCTGGGATTACAGGAGTGAGCCACCGCGTCCGGCCCCTGTGTGCTTTTTATATTGTGCAGAGATTGTATCAGACCCTGTGAAGTTACAAAGCAGAATAAAGCATCCTTGGTTACCGTGGTTACATTGGGTTAGGCCTGGGATATAAGTTCTCACAGCCCCTTACTTTCTCTGTATGACCACGTATCACATTGTCTGTCACCACCCTCCTAGTCCATAAAGCTATTTGAGGACATCTTCTAGCATTTTCTCTGCTGCATCTGCAGGCATCTAGCACAGTGTGTGGACATTTCGTAAGCATTTGTTGCAAGATAAATGAATAAACATGTAAACTTAACAAGGATATATTGGTGAGCTTGTGCCAAACAAAACAGTCATTCATTTGATGAAGACCTGGATCAACCTTATGGGTTAGTAAGTAGCAAAGGCTTGTGGAGAAGGGGGCCTTTGAGAAGAGTCAGGTTTCAATAGGATTAAGGAGCACTTTAGAGCTAAACCAAGTACTTGGAAAAGATTAAAAACCGTGGCCTTGGCTGGGCACGGTGGCTCACGGCTGCAATCCCAGCACTTTGGGAGGCCAAGGCGGGCAGATCATGAGGTCAGGAGTTTGAGACCATCCTGACCAACATGGTGAAACCGCGTCTCTACTAAAAAAAAAAAAAAAAATTAGCCGGGCGTGGTGGCGCATTCTTGTAATCCCAGCTACTCCGGAAGCGGAGGCAGGAGAATAGCTTGAATCTGGGAGGCGGAGGCTGCAGTGAGCCGAGACCGCGCCACTGCCCTTCAGCCTGGGTGACAGAGCAAGACTCCGCCTCAAAAAAAAAAAAAAGCCGTGGCCTTAGACACCTGCCGAGAGTCCACAGGGTATGAACCTTGGTGGGGTTAAACATGATTCTCAATCCTTTAACTTTTATTGAACTCCTGCACTTCCAGATTCCTAAATCGGGCCCAGGAATTATAATAGATGCCCACAGCTGCATGGTCTTCCCTCGCCGCAACAGGCAGACACTATTAGAAGTATAAGCCACGTACCCTCCAGAGAGCAAGGCAAGGCATCTTCTTCAGATGTCTCTGCCCTTAAAGCACACACGTTCTGCTCTGCGGCGAAGCAGGACAGGGAGGACAGGGACCCGCACCTACGAAGAGAGCGGGCTCCCGAGGCCGGCGCGCCGCCGCCCAACACTCGTTGCTGAGCATGCCCGGTAAGCGGCCCCAGGGCCGTGCCCGTGCGGCACCTCGCGCTCACGTCTCAAGTGGGAGTAATGTACCGGGACAGGGCGAAACTGTATTTCCACCTTCTAGGCCATGCCTGTTCCAGTCCAGTTCTCCCTGAAAAACCGTCTGGCTCATCACCTGCTTAAATGAAACAATAGAGGTGCAAACCTCTCTGCCGGCGGCGCGCACCCGGACCGGAAGTGACGTTGACGTGCCCACGTAGTCCTGCCGGCGTATTCCCGCTATGCACTTCGCCCGCCGTTCCGTGGCGGGAACTGAAGCGACTTGCGGGGACAGCGGTGATCGTAAGTCCCCTGGGCCCATTATTCTCAGATTAGGGGACGGAATTAAGACTTCGAGACCATCTCGTCCTTTTTGTATCGCGGAAACCTCAGGAACGAGCCGGCGGCGGTAACCTGCTCGGGAAGCCAGGCTAACTGGTGACAGGCTGGAGGAACTGCAAGCCCGCTTCGCCTTCCCTACTCCTTCCTTTGATGACCCTGTGAGGTCTGCCACCTCCTTCGGGGCCCCAGCTTAGCCGCCCTTTCATGCCCTGGCGGCGCCCTTTGGGGGTGAAATGGGGATTCCGGACAGCGTCTTGCAGAGCCCCGCTTAGGGCTGTATTACTATTTAACAGCCCGAGGCAGGGATGGACTAATCCAATAACCTTATAAAAATCTTGGCAGTTTACAGATATTGAAAATCTATTTTATTTTGTTTTATTCTATTGAGCATATCCCCATATGCCAAGCACAGAACTATATATTTGCACACATTCTTTTATTTAACTCTCTTGTCCTATGGAATAGGCCTTAGCTGCTTTAACAGAAAAGGAAACTGGCTCTCATAGATGGTAATTCATTCACCAATTTTTTTTTTTTTTTTTTTTGAGACAGAGTCTTGCTCTGTCGCCAGGCTGGAGTGCAGTGGCGCGGTCTTGGCACACTGCAACCTCTGCCTCAGCCACCCGAGTAGCTGGAACTACAGGCGCGTGCCATCACGCCCAGCTAGTTTTTGTTTTTGTTTTATATTTTAATACAACAGTGTTTCATTATGTTGGCCGGTCCTGACCGTGTGATCTACCCACCTGGGCCTCTCAAAGTGCTGAGATTACAGGCATGAGCCACAGTGCCCGGCCCATTCACCAAGTATTATGGGGCATCTTCCATGTACCAGGCACTGTTCTAGGTACCAGGGCATGTAGCAGTGAAAAACATAAAATTACTGGGGATTTTTCAGGCAAGCTAATGATGCTTTTTATCCCTGAAAACAGCCTGGAAGACTGTTTACCTGCATATTAGAAACAGTTACCTTCTGGGTGGGATTTTGTATTCATTTCTTAAATTCCTCATGCTTTCTGCCTTTTTTTAAAAATTTTTTTGAGTGTGTTAGAAAAACAGCTGTTCCTATTTTAACAACAGAGTCCCGCCCCCGCCCCGCCCCCCACCTTCCCTTCCCCACAGAAAGTCTCTGAAGGTAGGTAGGCACTGACTGTCATTAAAAACAGGTCCAGAGCAGGCACGGTGGCTCACACCTGTAATCCCAGCACTTCGGGAAGCCGGGGCAGGAGGATTACTTGAGCCCAGGAGTTGTTCCAGATCAGCCTGGGCAACATGGTGAAACCCTGTCTCTATCAAACATTTTAAAAATTAGCCGGTTGCGGGGGGGGGGGGGGGGTGGAGAGGGGCTGGCGGGCGGGAATGCGTAGGTAGTAGTAAGTATGCACCTGTATTCCCAGCTACTGGGGAGGCTGAAGTGGGAAGATCACAAGAGCCTGGGATGTCAAGGCTGCAGGGAGCCGTGATTACACCACTACACTCCATCCTGGGCAAAAGAGTGAGACCCTCTCTCAAAAAAAAAAAAAGTTGTGGGGAGGTCCTTGAGTGAATTCTGGCCCAAGGAAAGGAGTGAAGGTTCTCATTTGTGGTATGAGCCCAGCACCTTTAATTGTGGAAGAGTCCATTTCAGGCTCTGAGCTAAAGCTAGGCCCATGACTGTGAAAGAAACCATGGAGGCCCATGTGGTTTGGTCATTAGCAGCATCATATTTAGCAATGCATTGGAAACACATTAAACATTTTTGTGACATAGGATCATTGTTCTGTAACTCCTGCACCAGAAATAGATTCTAAGTTCCTTAAGGACTTTGACCGCTTTTCTGTCCTTATAGACCTCAGTATAGCACATTCAGAGTGTCACAGGTCATGGGGTGATGTCCTCTATTAAGGAACACCTTTGCACAAGGCTAAGTGTGCTTTCAGGCTGTACTGTGTCTCCTTTTTTTGTTTTTTTATTCGTTTGTTTGAGACTAAGTCTTCCTCTGTCGCCTAGGCTAGAGTGCAGTGGCGCCATCTTGGCTCACTGCAACCTCTGCCTCCACAGTTAAGTGATTCTCCTGCCTCAGCCTCCCAAGTAGCTGGCCAGGCTGGTCTCAAACTCCTGAGTGATCCACGTGCCTCAGCCTCCCAAAGTACTTGTATTATAGGTTTAGCCACCGTGCCCAGCCTTCAAACTGTACTTTCTCATAATTTTCCCCCCTTTCCTGTGGTGCTGATTCTCATAATGGTTTCAAAAAAAGCTTTTTTATTTCTGTCTTGCACCTGACCAGGGTGAAGTAACCATGCAGGCATTTCTTAAAGGCACATCTATCAGTACCAAACCACCGCTGACCAAGGAGCGAGGAGTAGCTGCCACTGCGGGAAGTAGTGGAGAGAACAAGAAAGCCAAACCTGTTCCCTGGGTGGAAAAATAGTAAGAACACTTGTGTCTTTGTTAAAATACTTAAGATATTATCTCTCTATCCAGTTCTGATCACTCGTTTTTTTTAAAAGCAGAATTTCGCTCTGTCACCCAGGCTGGATTACAATGGCGCGATCTCGGCTCACCACTAGTCAATAACATACTAAGTATATATGTAACTACATTAACCAAAATAGTTACCTGTCCTAAGGTTACTAAATAGTTTTCCCTTTTCAACTTAGGTTCATGATCTTATTTTGTCAAAATATAATAATGGGTCTTTTTGTTTGTTTTTTGTTTTTTTGAGATAGTTTGGTTCTGTCGCCCAGGCTGAAATGCAGTGGCACAATCTTGGCTCACTGCAACTTCCACCTCCTGGGTTCAAATGATTCTCCTGCCTCAGCCTTCCATGTAGCTGAGACTACAGGCATGTGCCACCATGCCTGGCTAATTTGTTTTTTGAATTTTTAGTACAGATGGGGTTTCACCATGTTCACCAGTCTGATCTCGAACTCCTAACCTCAGGTGATCTGCCTGCCTTGGCCTCCCAAATTGCTGGGATTACAGGCATGAGCTGCCATGTTTGGCCAATAATAATGCTTTCTAAGCAAAGTGTTCATTTTAATTTTTTTTTTTTTTTTTTTTTTGAGACGGAGTTTTACTCTTGTTGCTCGGGCTAGAGTGCAATGGCATGATCTCAGCTCACTGCAACCTCCGCCTCCAGGGTTCAAGAGATTCTTCTGCCTCAGCCTCCCAAGTAGCTGGGATTATAGGCATGCACCACCACGCCCAGCTAATTTTGAATTTTTAGTGGAGATGGAGTTTCTTCATGTTGGTCAGGCTGGTCTTGAACTCCTGACCTCAGGTGATCCACCCACCTTGACCTCCCAAAGTGCTGGGATTAGAGGTGTGAGCCATAGCGCCTGGCCCCACTTTAATTTTTAGTTAGTGTTTGTAGTATGTAAAATAAAATCCTTTTGCTTAATTTTTGTGGGTATAGCAGATATAAGCAATTCAGATGTGTTCACTTAATGGTAAAAACAAATGGGGTTTCTACCTTATTCCAATTATGAGAAAGTTTCTCATTTCATTGCTGATGTTTGAGAATTGTCATTGGTATTTTAGTAGGAGGAACACTTGAGGCTTTTCTGTGGCTACTATAATATACTAAATAAATCTTTCCTCCTCCCCACCCCACAAGTCGCCCAAAATGTGTGGATGAAGTTGCTTTCCAGGAAGAAGTGGTTGCAGTGCTAAAAAAGTCTTTAGAAGGAGCCGATGTGAGTAACAAATGCTGTTTAATGTCATTGGGATGTTTAAGATTTAACTTATTTACCTTCTTCCTCCCTTTATACCTTCTAGCCCTCCTTAAATATCATGCTGTATGCATAGTAGGTCCTTGATAATATTGGTACAATGATGATTAGTTGAACTATGTATTGAGCATCTCCTATTTAATCTTACATAGGATTGTTACGTAGTATTCAAATAAAAGTCTTTGAACAAGACACACTATGCCCCTTTTTTCATGGTTTTGTTTTTTTTTTTTTTTTTCATTTTGTTTTGAGATGAAGTCTTGCTCTGCAACCCAGGCTGGAGTGTAGTGGCGCGATCTTTGCTCCCTGTAACCTCTGCCTCCCGGGTTCAAGTGGTTCTCCTGCCTCAGCCTCCTGAGTAGCTGGGATTACAGGTGTGCACCACCATGCCCGGCTAATTTTTTGTATTTTTAGTAGAGACATGTTGGTCAGGCTGGTCTGGAACTCCTGACCTGGTGATCTGTCTACCTCAGCCTCCCAAAGTGCTAGGATTACAAGCATGAGCCACCACCCTCAGCTTTGTGAGTTTTTATTGGTGGGGAAAGATAGAATAAACAAGTAAACCAAATAAATAATTATAGATAGTAATATGTGCTATAAAGAAGAGCCAGGGATTCCTCTAAAGTATAATTGCTTATCTAACTTTAGGATTTGGATTTACCTATAATACAAAAAAAATCAAGCTTTGAATTCTGCTTGTAGCACTCTCTTCTGCTGTGATATGGGGGATAAAATATCCATGAATAACTTGCATTGTAAATTATTCTGAGGTAAGATAAATCCATGTGAAGAATTAGCAACTTAAAGTTGTCTTCTTATGAATATCCAAAGTGCTTTAACAGCTTAGCCAAGTGGTGACATGGGATGTGATTTTTGCTTTATTTTCAAGATTTGCTCCCT